TCCTTCCTGATAAGAAGGATTTTGTGCAAACCTTTCCCCATTTAAAAAAATAATATTTAAATTTGTGCACAATTTTTCTAGTTATAAGAATATTCAAATTCCTTTCATTCATTTCTTTCTGATCTTAGTCACTCTGATTACTCGCAATAGTTTTTTGCAGTTTACATGTCATTTCCATAATCTTGAAGGTTCAAAAATCAGATTTTGTTGTGTAGGTAAAAAAAGCCATTGCCGCTATGCCAAATCCTTCAAATCAAGAAAGACTCCTTATGCCTAAAACACATGAATGTTTCTGGAAGCATCATTTTACTCCATAAAACACTATCCCCATGCCTGTATTTGCCGGTTCATTTAGCACTTGCCTAAACAACAGGCTTTGAATTACGTATCTTAATGCCTTCAAATAATCTGTACCATGTGTCTAGTGTCCCCTACTTCAGAGTGCGAGGCGGATGCAGTGCCCAGTGGCTGTGGATCCAAAGACTCCATTCTCAAGCCCGGGGAGAAGAAGGACTGGAAAAGACGAAGGCGAGGGCTGAGTAACAAGTGAGAGATCTGTAGGAAAGCTATTATTACACTGTACAGTCTAGCCTGCCAGAGTGTAAGGAAGGTCTGCCTGTTTATTGGGAAGCTGCATTTACTCTGTGTCAGCACTGTGGTGAGGCCCATGTCCATTTAGTGCCTCGTACGCAGCTGAAAACCTAGGATACTATGAGCTGTTATCGCCAATAAAAGCTGTTGATCGGAGGTGAGAAGTACTCTATTACTTACTCAGATATATACTTGAGTGACTTTTTACAAACGTACTTCTCTAAGTAGCTTTCAGACACCATGCTTTTACACTGACTTGAGTAATATATTTTACAGTGTAATAGTATTCTTATTTGAGTAAATGTTTTGGTTACCCTTCCCAGAGTCCTTAACTTTAAATGATAAATCAGATACTTAAAGCTACGTTTGTAATTTGACGAGCTGACCCAGCATGTTACTGCTGTCTGACAGTGTGTCAGCTTTGGCCTGACAGAAGACCAGAGAGCAAAGGCCAGGTGAGGGAAGAGGAGCGGGGCAGGTTTCACATCTCCAGTCTACTGGTGAAAAAAGTCAAATAAGCTTACAGATAATAGCTTTAAATAATAATTTCCCCAAAATATTTTTTTCCATCTTCAAATTCTACTTCTACTTGAGTCATATTATTTTGAAGTAACAGTACTCTTACTTGAGCAAAATCTTTGACTACTCTACCCTCCTCTGCTGTTGTTGTTACAGTAGCTGGGAGCAGACACCGAGCCCAACTGCAGAGACTGGCAAACCC